CTTGAAATATGAGTCCTAATTTTGGTGGAAAGTAGTAACTACCATTAATTTTGCTTTTATTTCTCATTTGCTGGCCCATTTTTGCTTTCAGAGAGGGGGCATCTTTTAGAGGTGTTATACAGTTTTGTCATACCCACATGCCTTCTTTCCCTTATAACTTCCCCATCCCAAAGTCCTGGTTTGGTCAAGGGTCAGCTCTTCAGCACCGGGAAAGGCATGCTTGTTAAACCTACATTCAGGTGGGACAACGCAGAAGTGTTGTAAATTTGGTATTTTTTATTTGTAATTTTGTCAGAAGATGTTTTCTTTTTAAAGGGGGTGTACTTTATTCTTCAAACATTTAACATCTTGTCTTTAGTTACTTATGAAGTTACCACAGTTAGTCAGCCTTGGCACTAGGACTATTGGGGCTGGATAACTCTTTGGGAGGAGAGAGGCTAGCCTGTGCTTCATAGGATGCTGGACATCACCCTAGCCCCTACCCACTGAACAGCAGCAGCACACCTCCAAAGGTGGGAACCCGGGCCTCCAAGCGTGGTCCAGGGTTCTCTGGAGGGCAAGATTCTCCCTTATTTAAAAACTGCTAAATAACACATTAGAACTTGGTGATGGCGATCAAGGATTGCAGCCTTCAACATCAATTGTGACTCAATGTAACAAAAACCAGAGTCCTCACAACTCGACCAATAGGTAACATCATGATAAAAGGAAAAGAAAAAAAAAAAGATTGAAGTTGTCAAGGATTTCGTGTAGCTTGGATGCACCATCAATGCTCATGGAAGGATCCTTCAAGAAATCAAAGGACGCACTGCATAAATCTGCTGCACAAGACGTCTGTCAATGTTGAAAAGCAACGTTAACTGGAGGACTTAGGTGTGCCGGACACAAGTCATGGCATTTCCAATCGCCTCACATGCCTGGGGAAGTTGAACATCGAATAAAGAAGACCGAAGAACTGAGGCATTTGAATTGTGTGATCCCACATACTTTGGACATGCTGTCAAGAGAGACCAGTCCCTGGAAAAGGACATCATGCTTAGTAAAATAAAGGAACAGCAAAAAAAAAAAAAAGGAAAGCCCTGGACTAAATGGATCGACAGTGGCTCCAACTGTGAACTCAAACATCGGACAACTGTGAGAATGGGGCAGGACCGGGCAGTGTTTCGCTCTGTGGTGCAGAAGGTCTCCCTGAGTCAGGAGGGACTCAGGGCACTGAACAAAAATAACAAAGTAGAATCAGATTACAAAAATGACCAGGCCACCCAGGAAAGGAGCAAAAGGTTAACATCGCTTTTTAATGGGGTGATGTTGTGATATGTAATTCAGAATGGTTCCCACTCTAGTCGCTCAGTAGCCTTATATTAAGGCAAATAGGATATCCAATCTTCAAGGGGGGAAACTGATTCAACAGTGAATAGAGTCTGGGATGGAGGTGGAGAGCGCAGGAATGAGCAAAAGAGAATGAGAAAAAAAGAACTGAAGGAAGGTCAAATTCTGAGTTCTTTTGTTTGCTACTCATTAAAAAATGTTATCTTTTTAAAATATTCATTAGCTTGTGCTACTAGAAAAGAGTATACTAATTGGAATGAATATGCACTGTGTCTTAGCCAATTGAGTTAGTCTGATGACTGCAGGAAAAAAATCTCAATTTATCAGAATTCAGAAATAGCACTATCCCAGGTATCAGGTCAAGCATCTTTTAAACTTTATTGGATAGTGTCAACAGTTAATAAATATTTTAAGTTATGAAAAGCCTGGGGGTGAGGGTACATCTCAATCCTTTTGCGTGTTGCTATCTGGGAAACAATGAAAAACCTAACTATTGAATTTCCATTCCTATATCAATCCCCTCCCATGAGTGAGTCTCCTATCAATATGTCAAGATAAAGGGATGGGCAGGACACAGTGGCAGAAAGAGGAGGCTTTCTACTCCTGAAAGGAGTTACACTCTCGGAAAACTACAGTGGCCATTCTATTCTGTCCTATCGGGCTGCTCTGAGTTGGAATCAACTTGGTGGCATTGAGTGAGTGTCCTTTGAAGTGCTGCAGGTCTTTTCTTAGGCGAAAAAGAAGGATCATCAGACTTTCCACACTGAACTCATAAAAGAAAGGAATCTATTGAAAGAGGTGTTTCACTATACATGACAAGTGGCATCCCTGGGTGGTATAAATGGTAAATGTGCTGGGCTACTAATAGAGAGATGAGAGGTTCAAGGCCACCCAAAGGCACTTCAGAAGACAGACCTGGTGATCAACTTCCAAAAATCAGCTACCGAAAACCTTCTGAAACTCAGCCCTATCTGACATACATGTAGTGGAATGGAGCAGACTCAGCCCT